GTGAACATGGTTATAAGGGTGGCACACAAAACACTATGATTGTCTAAGGACACATACAAACATAACCTATCTGTATATTGAGACTAGTAGTCGTGAGTAAATCAATATACAGTACAGGGTATACAAAAGCCAAATTAAATGAAATTTCCTTTAGGGTGTTCGTCTGTTAGGTGAGTGATATGTAAGGCAGAATGTGTGGGGAGGGGGTTGTGTGCCAAGTCGAGGGACCCCTGTCCGTGAAGTCCACTCTGCTTGTCTGTAGGTCCCTAAATCTTTGGGCAATAAAAGTTGGAGTGCTGGCCTCCCTTGTTATCTGTGTGTGTGTGTTTATGTGTGTAACCCCCCCTATGGTGCCTCTCGTACCAGGCTCGGCCTTGTCTCAGGCCACCTGGAATTTAGGCCCTGTGATATGTGCATGTGTGATCCTACAATGCTATTACAGCAAATGCGAGGCTGAGACTGAAGCGTTACCCTTTGTTTCCGCTGAGAGACGTGTCACGTGACTCATTTCCCTGCGTGTACAAGTTATCTTAGGTCAGCGTTCACAGTTTGACTTCTGAGATTCAGATGGAGTTCTAGGTAAAAAAATTTTTAACTGGTTGGTTCGACTTTTAAGAAATATGAGTTTGAGAACTGAGGTACCACTGTATATCCAGTTACTCCCCTGGGTCAGTGGATTAAAGTAAATAAAATTATTATGTGTTTATTTGATTAAATAATGAAATTTATTTTATTAAATAATTACTCCCTCACCCAAGTGTAAAAGGTCTGCTCATGCCCCCCCACCCCTCCCCACCCCAGTGTAAAAGGTCTGGTTACTCCCCCATCAGATAGAATGGGCAGGTGACCAGGTGCCCTTGCCACCCCCACCGCACTGTAAAAGGTCTGGTTACTCCCCCGTCAGGCAGAAGGGGCAGGTTCCCAGGCACCCTTACCCCCACCACCCCACTGTGAAAGGTCTGGTTATGCCCCCGTCGGACAGAAGGGGCAGGTGACCAGGCACTCTTGCCACCCCCACCGCACTGTAAAAGGTCTGGTTACACCCCCGTCAGACAGAACGGGCAGGTGACCAGGCAGCCTTGCCACCCCCACCCCATTGTAAAAGGTTTGGTTACGCCCCCATCGGACAGAAGGGGCAGGTGACTAGGGACCCTTATCCCGCACCACCCCACTAGCACACTGAACATCGGTTCCCCACAAGGCTGTGTGCTGCACCCCCTCTTGTACTGTCTCTAAACCCACGACTGTAGTCCAGCCCACAGCAACAACCTCATCGTCAAGTTTGCTGACGACACCACCGTGGTCAGACTCATCTCAAAGGGAGACGAGGCAGCTTATAGAGAGGAGGTCCTGAAGTTGTCCGCCTGGTATTCAAAGAACAATCTGGCTCTGAACACCAAGAAAACCAAGGAGATCATAGTTGACTTCAGGAGGCACAGCACCAACTTAGCCCCCCTCTACATCAATGGCGAGTGTGTGGAGAGGGTCCATGCCTTCCAGTTTCTTGGCATCCTTATCTCCGCTGACATCTCCTGGACAGACAACATCACAGCAGTTATCAAGAAGGCTCAGCAGCAGTTACACTTCCTGAGTTACATCCTGGACTCCAACCTGCTACTGACCTTCTACCGCTTGTCCATCAAGAGCCTGCTGACGTACTGTATCACAACTGCACCATGGCAGACATGGAGAGGCTCCAGAGAGTAGTAAAGGCAGCAGAGTTGATCATCGGCTGCCCTCTCCCCTCCCTGGTGGATATTTACACCTCCCACTGCCTCAGCAGAAAAGACATCACCAAGGACAGCTCCCACCCTGGCTCTGACTGTTTGACCTGTTGCCCTCAAGGAGGCGCTACAGGTGCATCACAGCAAAGACAAACAGACTCAAGAACAGTTTTTTCCCAAAAGCCATAACCACTCTGAACTCACACATGCACTGACTACACAGTCTAACCCCCCAACCCCTAGACTTCCTTCTATCTATCAACTATGCAATATCCAATATCTAAATGGTATTGATAATAACTGTACAATATCTGTATACTGTACAATGTCATCGCTCTGTGTCCAACATCCACTACT